TTTTAAAATTTATGGGTATCAAAAAATAATTAACCATTTTTTAGAGTGGGGCGGGGGGTTACTTTTCAGAGGGGTATTCTCCATCGCTCAGAAAGTGTAGGGGCCATTGTTGTATGGTTTTAAAAAAATATAATTTTACAATTATAATTAATACAAATGAATCAAAATATAAATAATTCTTATTGCAAATACAATATTTTATTAAAAATAGTATAATATAAAAAATATATAAATATTATGACTAAGAATTCATTATAATTAAGTTTTGCATATAAAAATTTTATGAATAAGAACACAATATAATCATATAGAAATTTTATGATTTGAATTTATAAAGAGAGGTCTACTTTTCTCTGAGATTTGGCCAATTCATCTAGATTCAAATTTCTATCTAGAATAATTTCCTTATAAATATTTAATAGGGCTAATCCATTTAAACGGTTTTTACCAGTTCTATTTCAAAAATAAGTTTTTAACCTTTTCAAAGTTGAAAAAGATCTTTCATTAGTGTAGGTACTAATCGGTAAAGTAGTTAAAATAAAAAGCAATGTTTTTATATCAGGCAGGGAATCTAAAGTGCAATTATACATGGAAAAGGCCTGCAAAACATTTTTTGGTCTCAAAGAGTATTTCTATCAAGATTTTTATTCCAAAATTTGACATCAGAAAGTAACTTATCATACGATCCTGATAAATCATCAGAATAAAACTCTGAGATTTTCTTAATATCCTTCAAGTGTAATCAACAATTCAGACTCAACAGGAAGAAGAAAATAGAAGCTTTTTAAAATAAAATTGTGACTAATAAATCTTTCCTTTAATTGAAATAAAAATGTATCAATAAGAGGAATAAAAATATTTATTTTATAAAAATCTTCAATTTGGACTGTCTAGAAACTACTCTAGGTTCGAAAATTTCAATCCCAAGCATATAAGCGATCTCCTTTACTTTCTCGTATATTTCATGTAATTTTTCATCTACATTATCTCGGATATTTATAAATATTTCAACAATATCCTTCCCCCTAATCATAACCTCCCTTAAATCCAAATCAATTATTTGTAGAATTTCGCTAAAATCATATGTATAATTAAATAAAAAATATACACATTGAATTGATATAAATTGTGGCTTAGTAATAACAAAAGATTTTCAGCATCTGCGGAATCTTTTTCTTTGGATATGTAGGATTCGAGCAGTGCAAAAATAACTTCATATAATTCAATGAAAAGTCTCACTGATTGTTGTCTTTCAATAAATCTAGTTGGACAAAATCTTTTTAGTTTTTTGTTTGAATCAATATCATCAAACATTGAGATAAAAAGCTGCCTCTTCTTGGGTGGTGTGAAATAGTCACAAACCGACAATATTGTTTCTAAATTTTAAAAAATATATTAGAATTATAAAAAGATATCTATAATACATAATAAAATAAAATCTAATAAATTCCAATTAAATTAAAATATTTTTACGTAAACTGTTCCGGATGTCTCGAATTTCGCATGCCTCAGATATCATCAAATTTAGGCTGAACTACAGTGAAGATATAGAGCTGTGCTATATTGCTTTCTTATTCTTGACTGTACACCTTTAACGTGACCACCCACCAAGGGAGCTCCATCATATCCTTGGCCTCTCATTAGATTTAAATTTAAATCTAGGTCTTGAAGGGATGATTTCTTTGGCCATCGTCTCTGATTTAGTGTCATGTAAGTCAATAAATTGAACAAAGAGTCTTCATTTTAAAATCACCTGATTCAATATCAATAAACCTTACTGCGAAGGATAATTTCTCTATGTTACCAACATCCGAAGTCTCAACCGCCAAAACACTAAAAAATGGTGACCCTTTCACTTTTGTAGAATTTCTTTCAATATGAACCTATTGTATATGGCTAGTATTTCATTTTGAATACTCTAATTGCAAGATTTTAATAAAAGATATTATAAATGAATACCAACCATAGTCATTTGAGCATTTTGTAACCAAATCAGCTGATGGCTGATTTTCACTAGCAACATTCATATATATTCTAATTCAAATTATATAAATTTTATAAATAAATTACAACATACCTTGAGTTGATTACGATGTAAAATTTTCCTATATCCATGCTAAAGGATTTTTCTTTTATTTAAAAATTGATTATAAAAAATAAACTAAAATTTTAAAAACTATGTAATTAGTTTAACAATATAAATTTAATTATTAAATTTTTAAATATCTAATTTAACTATGCCAGAAAATATTTACAATATATCTTTTTTGTTATTTAATATTTTAAGTTCATATAATTTTTAATATTTATTTTTAAACCATGTGATCATTTAAAATTGAAAATTCTTATTTGTATTTTTGAACCCCCCCCCCCTTCCCCCACCCCTCTTGTCTACACCACTTCTAATGCCATTTTAACTACCAAGCCTTCCTGTCTATCAGATGAAAATTTTGAAAAAAATTGTTATTAAAAATTAATAAGAAAATTTTTTTTATAAATATAAATATTTTTTTATTGGCTAATATTTTATTTATAATTATATTATCAAAATAAAACTATATTATTTTTTAACATGGCTAATATATTGTGTTAAAATATATAAGACATTTATTTATATTAAATTTAATTTTTAAAAAATTTTGTGAAATTTTGAACGAACGTGAACATTCCTTTTTTTTGAAAGTGAACGTGAACGCGTTTGATTTTGCCAATGAACGTTAATGTTTACAGCACTAAATTAATATGATCATATAAATAAATATTTCAAAATAAAATAGTCACCATTGCAATATTAACCACGTGATATTAAATTCACTATAATATCTTCACGATATATGTTTCGCCAAATAGTTTTCTTTATATTGTCGTCGCAATTTTTTCCCAGTAATGACTTCGCTATAAAATTTTTGCGATTATTGATTCGCGATAAAAGTTTTGCTATAATGTATTCACTTTAAAGGTTTCGCGATTAGGGTTTTGCTATAAAAATTAGGGATATTTGTTCCGCGATATTGTCTTCGCGGAATACTATTCGCTAAAGTGGATTTGGAATAAAAGTTTTGCTATAAAATCCATTCACAATAACGAAACGGTGAAAGTTTCGCTGAATTGACATGGAATCATTTTATGATTGTTTGAATAATTCTAAAACAATTTATAATGAAGCGCGAATAAAATATTTATTAAATATGAATTTTGAAGCGTGATTAGAATAACAATGGAATTTTTAATTTTTACCGAGATTTTTTTTTGTGCGAATTTTTATCTGTGGGATTTTTATTCATGTTATTTTCCCCAAGAGAATGATTAATAATTATTTTATTATCATTGTACACACACAGTATTAGTATGCCAATTATCAGAAACTCCTTTCCTTAAGGATAATACTTAAGAATTTTTGAGTTAATTTTCAAATAGTGATTAATTAAAAGGGTGTTCATTGCCGGACGAAATCATGCTCAGCTTGCTTAATTTAAATGTGTCTCCACTAAAATATTTTTTTATTTGAGGAAATTTTTTAATATGAGTTATGTTTAAATTAAAAATAATTGACTCTTTAGCCACATATGATAAATACTGATAAATCACGGTATATTGATTAAATATTATTGTACTATTTATTCTTCAATCATTAATTATCCTGTTCAACATTAATATGAGAGACTAGCAGATATCTAAATTTTAAGCCCAGCATGGATTTAAAACTTTTTAATTTTGAAGCCCTGTCTTAATTTTATTTGGCCCATCCGTCTTTTTATTTTTCAAAATTTTTGAATTTTGTTATCTTAAATAATTTTGGCTGTATGTAGATTGTTTCAAAAGGAAATTTAAAACATAAGTAGTAAATTAACACGCTCCATTATATGATTTTTATTAATTTTTAAATCGGCCAATGTTTTTGAAAATAATAAATTTTGTAAAAATGTCTTTACGGCTTTTTGATCTAGGCCTGCAGGTCTCCAATTTTTATAAACCAAAAGTTATGAACTTTAAATGTAGTATTGATAAAGTATCATAAATCAAAAATAGTATGAATGAATTATAGTTTCAAACATTGTGGTTTAATTTTTAAAATTTAATACATTATCTGAAATAATTCTTGTTTTTTTTAACTCAATACAAGTTTAGTTAATGTACATCCTTATAATTTCTTTATTCTCCAATTTTTAATATATTTTATTAAATTTGTCACGAAATTTATCTAATTCATATTTTTTTAAAAAATATATAATTTTTATATTTTATAATTATAACAATTTTATTGTTGATCATGCGTTAGTTTTTCTTTTCTAACTAAAATCTACAAATTTTGATATTAAATTTTATAGGAGGAAATTTAATTTTTCAAAAAACACTAATTAATTATCAGTATAATATTAATATTTTTACTAAAATTTCTTATTATGAATATATTAAAGATATGAAATTAAGTTGAGTAGTTGAATCAACTTTTAATAAGAATCAATACAATATTTAAAAAATTTTTAATAAAGGGTTATGATTTTATAATTTTTACTAAATAATAAGATGCTAAATATTTAATATAATAACCACATAAATATATCTTATAGGAAATATTACCAAATAAATAGATAATGAAATTTATGACAGATATATGATTTTATTTATAGCGCATTTCAAATCGTTTTCCAGATTTTAAATCAATTGCAACTTTAATTCCCTATCATATATAATTTATTTTAGTGGCCTTTTTCTTTCAGTTTTACTCTTTTGTTTTAACAATTAAATAAAATATTTATCTCAATCAAATTTCAGACAAATTATTTCGAAATTATATTTATAACTTAATAATCCAAAACATATTGGGCATATAAGCTTTAGACAAAATTTTATATGTTTCTTTTTAAACTCAATTTAAAAAAAATATTTAAATAAATATATTATTTTTCCACAATCAATTTTTTTGGCTACATCATCTGTTTTAATTCATAAAATATTATTAAATTTATTTTGTTTATTTTATTTATAGGAAATTTTAATATTTTACCTTGGCTTAAATTTTGGAAAAGCCTATATTTTTATATTCAAATCGGTGAAGAAAGATATGGAAAAGAGTAAGTATTTAAAATTAATTTTAGTTTTTTTTAAAGTTTTGAATAAAATAATGTTAAAAATTTATATGAATAATTTTTAACACATCTATCTTTTATTTGTGTTTTTTAGATATAAAATAAGTAAACCTTTGGGGGTATTTTAAAGTTATCATCACCTTATGGAAAAATCTATAATTTAAAAAAAAATGGTGTCCATGCTTTTCTGAATATAATTCAGAGTTAAGAATAATAATTAAGTTGAGTTAGGTTGCCTAAGGATTTTTTTTCTTAAAAAAGCTTTCATTATATACAATTTTTACGAAAATAAAATATAACCAATGAGAAGGGGGGGGGGGATTGGCAATTTGACAGCTTTCGTAAATATCATTTTAGGCTAAACTTTCCCCTTCATTCTCTCCGTCCCTTTCTTCACAAAAAGGTGTAAAATAGTATGTCATAATACCTAATATTTTTAAAAAGAAGTAAAAGTTAATAATTTTTTATAACAATGGTATAATTGAAATTTTTAAGAAAAATGTTTTTTTAAAAAATAAGTTTAAAATCAAAAAGAAATAATAACCCAAAGGACTTCAGTAACCTAAGAATCTCCAATAAATTTGGTAGGAAAACCCCCCAAAGCCCCCTCTCCAACTTCTTCGTTAAAATTCTGGATACGCTTTTGGTCGCTTATTGTAAAATATGTAAACAAATTAGGTATGAAATGTTGAACATCATTTCTCTCAATTGTGTGCGGGCGCGACTAGAGAAAAATAATTGAATCTCAGATGGGATTATTAGGCACAATTACATATAAAATTAATTTTATGATTCCAAATTTTTTTAAACCCTCTTTTTAAAAAGCAACTCTAACCTTTCAAATGTTAAAAGTAAAAATAAAAGAGAGCGGAGTTATATGGCGGGTGTTTTGCTCTTTTTCAATAAAATTTTCTCTTATTTTATAAAATAAAATAATTGTATCATTTGGGTTTGGTAAAAATAGGAAATTTAAAACATCAAAATTATCTTAGACTCTTGATCGATCATTACAAATATAATTAGTAGAAATATTAGGGTTTAAGGGTTAGCACTTAAAAATATTTTAGAAAATCATTGCCATGAGAAATTATTTCTTCACAAATTTGCCATCCCTTTGCCATAACCCCAAGGGTAGTGAGTTAACTTAAATGGCTAACAATTATTCTAGATAACGAAATCATTGACTACGTTTATTCTATAGTAGCCTAGATATTGAGAAAAATATCCTAAAAATTTCATAAAATTTAACCTACACAAAGTGTTAATTTTTTCCTTGTACAGTCTACCAAACGATTTTGAAGCATGAAGCACTAAATTTCTAGAGAAATTAAGAATTATATTATATTGGAATAAGCTTCAGAATTAGTGCTTCAAAATGTTTAGTTAACTTATTCTTAAAGCATGATGTCATAATTTTTATTTAGCTTATAACTAGGTTTCTGTTTATTGACTGACAAAACTGATGAATTATTAAGTATAAATTAAAAATTAAGTATTGGCTCAAATCAGATATTAAGTGCTTATATAATTTCCGTTCTGGCATGATGGCATTTTTTAATCTTCGACATGATAGTTTTTATTTAGCTTATAACCCGCGGTCTTCAATTGTAGTTGGACAAACTTATTATGAAATTAATAAGTACCAATTAGGCATCAAATATTAGCGTAAATTAGATAGTTATAAATTTCTTGATCTGTTAAAAAATATAAATTGAACAAATTAAACCAGAGTTTAACTATCTTTTAAAATAATTAATAGTTCCTTGATATTGAATTATCAGAAACCTTCCTCAAACATTATAAAAAAATTGGCAATTATATTAATGAATCATGATTAATTATTTCACCATTCAATAGAGCAGAAAATTTATTAATATTCATACAGGAAATTTACCCAAGCACGACGGTAGCTTTTAGAATTCTACTGATGATAGCAGTAACCTTTGTAAGCAGAGAAAGGAGTTTTTAAAAGTTAAAGTTAACATTAACCAAAACCATTTGAGGTTAATTATAGCCGATGGAAAATTGACTAGGTTTTCAATGTTATCCATTAAACAGAAATGAGATTTTTTTAAAATATAGATAAAATTTTCCGAAACTTTGGAGCATAAATATATTCGGAAAATTAATCTAGTATGTTACATAACATTATAATATAATATATTCCTTTTTTTTGTAGTTTATAAACGGCGGCATATTTTATTTTATTTTATTTTTCCTTCTAGGAAGGCGCCTGGATGGACAAGAAAAATAATAATTTTTAAAAAAACTATCTAATTTAAACCCCAATCTAAAAAATTTCCATTGGGAAGACTTTTCGGTCTAGAACATTCTTTATATTAATCATTATTTGTTAAATTGAAAGCTTTTTCGGTAATTTAATTTGAAAAATGCTCAAGTTAGGTCAGTTTTATAATATCTTTTTAGTTTATATTGACAAATTTTTCTTCCAAATCTGCTAGCCGCATATAAATTTGTTATATCTTGCTATCGACTAATTTGAATTCGAACTCTATCTCTGTTTCTTTTAAAACTATTTTTTATAACTATATAATAATAAAAAATATTTATAATTCCCCAAATCACACACAAAAAATAAAAAATTTTATTGAAAGGATAAGAGTTCATCCTTAAAATTAATTTTGGAAAAATAATTAAAATTGTCATTTATAATATCGATTTAGAGACAGTCTAAATCTGGATCAATTATATTTAACTGTTTTTTTATGACAAAATCTTCTACCCTTGAGGTCATCGAGGTGTTACTATATTAACTATTTTAACCATTCATAAAAATTCTATAAAATTAATTTATTCATGTTAGAAATATATTTTTATATAAAATTTCTATAGAATGATCTAAAAATTACGTCTAGACTTATCGTTTCAATAAGAAATTCAACTAAATATTTATTCATCGGCTAATAATCGATATTAAAAAAAAGGTCTCTTTTTAAAAAATTTAAATAAACAATTTTGGTTGATATTTATAATTATTAATATATGATATATTATAATATAAAATATCATAAATTAAAAATTGTAAATTCTTAATTACGATAGATTCAACTAATTATTTTTCTTTTTCAGGTTTATAAAAAATATTTGTATTTTCAAAAGGAGTAAGAACGCTATAGTTTAATTTAATTTTAAACAATTATTTTCTAAATATCAGAATCAGACACTTCAAAAATTGTTTTATTTATAATAAATACTTCCAACGGGGTATCATAATTTATAAGAGGCGGTGGGGGGGGGGGCAATTTTTTAAAAAGTTTGATAAATCTATAGCTGTTAAAAATAAAATGTTGATTTTTTAAGCCAGACTGTAAGTGCGTTGCAACTCGCTAAAAAAACTAAAAATATTTTAAAAATAAATATTATATTGAACGTGGATAGAAAGTAGATTAGATCTACATATACGTATGCCTATGTTTCTCTCGAAGAAAGAGATAGCTGATAATTTTTCCAAGAGCATTTTTAAGAAGAAAAGGGCCTGCACTAAATTGCCAAGTTTATAGTTGACCACAGTGACAATTTTAGTAAACATGATTGAGGTAACAATTGGAGAATAGATTGAAATAGAAAGATCTAAAATAATAATCAGAATATATATAAACATAAATAAAATAATTTTACTACTACTTTATTACATGCTCCAACATAATTATAAAATAATAAGATATAAAAATTAAAAAGCAAAGGGTTAAAACGAAATAAAAATTAAGAAAGAAAACTTTCCCAAAAATTGGAAAGTGGTATAATATTCACAAAATCTCAATTATATATCTTTTCTTTAATAATCGTTTACATAGTCTGTAATCTTAAATAATATCGTAATAATTCTTTTAATTTGAATAATACATTTTTCGTTTCCATCTAAATATTATAACACCCTTCCACTTAAATTAGACCCACCATTCTGCGAAATACCAACTTCCCTTCTATTTCTGCTTTAATAATCTTGTACCTCACCATGGCTAATCTTCTTTTATTACTTATCCGATGACTTGTGTTCCTTGTCTCGCATTCTTTAACTTCTAATGACTGTTTATATCCGATTACCGCTTTATTGCCTTTACAAGTTTACCCTAAGTAAACGATTAGCTCTTTATTTCTGTAAGCGATTGATTAACCAGATTAACGCTTGCTTTTCAAAGATTAATAATTTCCAGTCAACAATTATCGATTGATACTTTACAACTTTGTTTCTTCTAGTCCTTTTTAAATTCTTTTGATAAATTATCCTAGTCTTTGCTTGTTTATAACGGTCTCTTAAACTAATGATTAGCCAGTGGCGCCGTTAGGAGTTTTCCTTATGGATCTTTTATCTAAAGGCTCGGTATTTTCTTATATCTAAAACCTTATTAATGCATTTTAAAATAGTCTTTATCATTTCTTCGTTGGTATTTCCCTAGAGTCCCATAAGTATTATCCCCTTAGTTACAGCCATCTTCTTCCATGAGATAAATAGTTTTATGTGCTAATATATTAATATAAATACCCAGCAAATAAGCTTGGATTATTGTTGTTATTGTTAAACAGCTAGATTTAACCGTTTTTAAATTAGAATTTAAGCCAAAATAATATTATGCAAGCCTTGAGATTTTGCTACTAGATGTCCATTAACATCCACTAGCTAAGATAAAATAGAAGAATTAAATTTTTTTTTAAGAATTAGATATATGTGAACAGTAAACGAGCAATTGATATGGCTCATTCCAAATCTTACCAACTTAATGATCGCACCATTTTTTTAACCTTATGTATATTTTTATTTGCTAAAATGTAACCTAGCTGTATAAATAATGGAAACATTATAGATGTATATTGGACTGCTATCTATAATTCTAGTGATATTTTATCTCATCATGTTAATCATATTAACTTTTCATCAAAAGAATATTAACATTTTGATAAGTTTATTTAGATATAGATGTGGAAAAAAATTAATTAATTTGTTTTAAAATTAATAGAATTTTTTT